ACACACACACATACACACACACACACACACAGACACAGGGACAGACATGCACACACACACACACACACACACACATACAGAAACACACACACATACAGAAACACACACACACACAGAAACACACACACATACAGAAACACACACAAACAGAAACAGACACACACACAGAAACACACACACAGAGAAAAACACACAGAAACACACACAAACAGAGAAACACACACACAGAAAAACACACACACACACAGAAACACACACACACAGAAACACACAAACATACAGAAACACACACACACGCACACACACACACAGAGACACACACACGCACAAACACACATGCGCACACAAACACACAGACACACACATGCACACACACACAGACACGCACACACACACAGAAACATACACACGCAGAAACACACACACATGCACGCACACACACACAGAAACACACACACACAGAGAAACACACACGCACACACACGCACATACACACGCACACACACAGACACGCACACACACACACACACATGCTGTCAGCTTTATTCTCATCCGGGTCGTTGCTGGTCTTTAGCTTCTATCTCCAGTCAGGAGAAAAGCAAACTGACTCTGAGCTGAACACCTGTTCTGTTCTGTTCTGTTTTCTGTTACCTGGAGAAAACCGTCCAGCTGCTGCAGGAGCTCCGTGTCCTTCTGGATTCTCTCTTCTACCGAGCAGGTCCGAGAGGTCAGCAGCTGCAGTTCAGCGTCCAGCGTTTCCAGATGGATCCTACCGGAGAAAAAACACAGCTTTTTTCAGATACGTTTGGTTGGAGGCGGAGCTTTCTCAGAATCAGTTCAGGACTCCACAGGAGCTGATGGGAAACGTGTTTTTGAGCAGCTTTTTAATGGAAACATGAAGAGTTTTCTGACCTGGAGGCGGCCTGCACGTTACTCAGCTTGAGAGTAAACTGCAGCAGCTTCTCGTCTTTTTTCTGAGCCTCCTAAAAGAAAGACAGGAAACGTTAGCTTTACAGATTTTCAGATCATTTGTAGGACCTCACACACTTATTGTTTTCCTTTCCTGCTTCTCTCTTAGAGGGGCGTTTAGCTCCTGGTTTCATAGGGGTCTTTAGTAATGGGCAATTTGGACTCTGTCCAAGGGTTTCCTCTGCTGTTTTCTGGATCGATACCTGGTTTTCCCTAAATTATGTTGCAGTCTTTGGTTGCTCGAGACTTGGAGCCTTTTAGCCTGCTTTTGATCATTTTGATTGTTGGGTTTCTGTAGTTAACTTCAGAGTAGGGTCTGACCTGCTCTGTTTGGAAAGCGCTGTGAGACAACTGTTGTTGTGATGTGGCGCTATATAAATAAAATTGAATTGAATTGAATTGAATTTTAGCCTGCTTTTGATCCCTGGGGGGGGGGGGGTCTGTACACCCGGTAGAGAGCCCAATTCATGTGAGCCTTATGCTAAACATTTTACATACTCACTCTCAGTTTTTTTTATCCAGCTTATGTTATGATCTGAAACTGGTAAAGCTATCCTGGCTAAGAAGCATGATCAACCCATGCTTGGAGAATACTCTTTGGTCCCCTTTCTTGGCTTTGCAAGGTTGATATACTCCACCCCTGAAAATATACCAGCAGGAAGCTTTTTAATCCTCACTGGTTTTTTCTAAAGTGTTCCCTCCACCACATAAGAACAGCCTCTGCTCAGGTGAGCAGTTCTCCACACCTGGACTCAGCTCCCTGAAGCCCTGGTTGATAATAGGTAATAGATAGGTAATAGGTACCAGACACTGCCACCTAGTGGAAACTCTAATACTTCAAGTCGAGCTCAGCATTATTAGGACAAAAGGGCCCCAACTGTCCAACGATTGTGACGACAAACAGTGCAAAAAACATGATTAAAACCAAACAATAGAAATCACACACCGTCATTCAGCGGTTACAGACTCGGGTTACTGACCAGAGCCACAAAGTGCAGCAGGTTCATGCCCGGTTTGTTGGCCTTGGTGTCAGCCAGGGACAGGAGGGAGGACAACTTGAAGCCGACCGCGTTTCCAGCATAACCGCCCTGCGACACACGGAGTGAGACGCAAAGACAGAGCAAGGCAAGTTTATTTTACAGCACATTTCGTGTGCAAGACAATTCAAAGTGCTTCACAGAGAATTTAAAAGCAGAAAAACAAGAAAAGAAAA